TAACACTATGCCACTAACTCGTGCATAACAACGTGCCGTGCAGGTAAACGCGGTTCGAAAAAAAAGGCGAATGCTTCGCCAGAAACAACTTGTACACACCCAAACGTATAGTAATACGATAATCATATTCGCTTTAAAAATACATACGGACGTGTGAGAATAGTTATTGGTATATACATAAAACATAGGACGTAAAAAGACTACGTCCAACCACGTTGTTTGTTTCGTATATAAAATCTCGTAACAGGAAAACGATAATTTCGGATTGAGTATCATATTTCGTATAGTAATATTAACACAAATGTGCTTTATTATTATTCTTGTTATTAACTTATATTGTTCGCACATTCTCAGGACGCGTGGCGACAGGTCTCCACACTAGGTTGTTATGTTGACCGGACAGTGGCGGTATTACAGTCTCCTCGCGCTGACCAATAAATAGTAATAATATTGTAACACTATCATACGTGTAATCTAATTATTAAACAATCATTGTTTCGAGAAAAAAAAAATCTTAATTTTTTTTAGTTCAACTGACTTAATGCCGTAGATGAACTTATTGTAACAATATTATTTATTATATTATGGACTCTATAGTGACAATTGATTTTTTTTTTTTTTTTAATACGTTTAGCTATTTAACCGACTATAACGAGTCTTAAATAACGTCAAATGTAATGCATGAATGTAAGAAATGCTTGCACGTGATAACGTGATTGATACACAATAGCTTGTCATATACGAGCGGATTTTTCATATAAACAGATCCGATGCATTAAATCCGCTTCGATGAATCTGCCCCGTGGACTAGATCCTCTGTATTGTCCATGAACGTTAAAATAAAAATGGATCGGATACTTCAAAGAACCAAGGCTGTTCATGTATGGAGCCAAATTTCCATCGTTTTCATAGCATTTGATCCGTAGAACCAGATTCATTGATCATTTAGCAAGTCTTAAAATACCACGGAATTCTCTTATTAAGTTAAAATTAAATTTTATTTTTCAACTATTTCAATGTATGCAATATTTTAGAGGTTCTTATTGTTTTCTCTTTCTGAGCAAAATTTCCACTCGTGTATAGCAGGCTATATGAGGAATGTTTAAAGTCACGGTTTTCATTTTTTTTTTTTTTTTTGTTTTGTTTTTGTTTGTTTCCTGTTTTTACGAATTTTTTTTTTTAATTTAATGAAAAAAAATATTTTAAGTTTAAAGGCTGAAAATTTTGACACATCATGATTAATACTGTTATAATTAAATAGTAATAATTTATAATGATATTTTCCTTGTGAAATGTTTGTTTTTAAACTATATGAGATACATTTTATATAATTATATTCTTAGGGTTTTGTAGCTCATCAATGTGAGTTCTTTGAATTTCGATTCAAAACCTAAGTAACTTGGTAAGACACTGAAACTAATGTTTATCTTCCACAGCTACTTGTATTAGACATGAAACTGGTAATGATTGTAAAGGGGCTGGGAAATGATTTAATCTTTATTTAGATCACTTAGTGCATTATTACATAGTTTTAATGATCTTATAAAATAAGTCAAATTATAATTTAATTTATTATAAGTCAATAATATAATTATAAGTCAAATTTATTTATATGGAATACAAGTAAATAATTAAAATATTTTAAAAGTATAAATCGGACAGTACGGAACTTTGTGTTAGCATTTTATTTTCAAAATTCGGTAGTAAAAACAATAATTGTTCAAATTTTAAAGTAAAAAAAAAAAAAAAATGAATTCATCATTTTCTGCGAAATAACTTTGACTAAAACGCGGGATATTTTTTCAATATTTATAGAGATAGTGATAATTGATAAGACAAAATAGAAGGAATGTATTACTTTTTTTTTTCAGGGAATCACGGTAATTTCGTTTATTTTTACTTTGAATATATTAATTATTCTTTATTTATGAATTTCATAAAGAGCTTACTTTATACATAATAAGAATATTCATTCCATATTATATAATTTCCATATTAAGAAATACATACCAAAAATTTAATAAATTGCGGTAAGTTTTTAAAACTAATGAGTAAAAATAAATGGAAAAAAATAACGTTCTTATCATTAAATTTAAATTGTTTTTACTTCAAATTGTATAAAACTTTTAAAATAGTTTAACTCTCTCAAAATTTAATCTCCGAATAAAAACTGAAATGCAATTTAAGAAAACTATTTTTCCCCACATACTTAGTTCCTTTTTATTATTATTAATGTTTTTAAACATTTATAGAAAACAAATAAAAGATTTTGAAGACAGATAAATATCTTAACGCTTACAAGGTTATGTTGTAAATAAATATTGATTAACAGATTATCATATTATTTACAATCGTCATTTAATATTTTTTTTTGTACTAAAACTAAATATTAGTTTTTATTCTTATGTAGTCTGACTTGCTTTATTATGCAATGTTTACTGCTATTATACTGTTATTGCGTTCTTCTTTATTAGTTATAACTTAAAGTATTATTAAATGAATATAATGTCGATTTAATTTTAAAATAACTCATGAAAATCTTTTTAGCCACCGGATGGGTTAGATTTGGAGTTTGATAAGTCACTATATAAAAACAAGTCGGTAAGAAATAGCTATCGAATGTTTTTTTCTTGTAGTTCCAAAAGTCATTAGGTTACGTTAATGATCGAACAATTTGGCTTTGACGTCGTATTTTGAAAAAATGTTTGAAAGTTAAAAATGCTACATAAAAATGGCTTTTTCTCTATAAAACGATAATATAGATACAAACTATAATATGTACATTTCTTTTGATAAAATAAAGTAATTTTATATATAGTGTCTTGAGATGCCGATAAAAATTACTTCCATAATTTTTCAACCATATACTGTAAATGCATACCTCCTCTAAAAGTATCATCGAGCGAACTCTTGATAGAGAATATGCCTCTAGGCTTAAATTCCTAATAAAATTTGCGTTTGAAATGTGTCACTAGATAATAATTAAAGTTCCATCAATAAACATATAAATTGCTCATTTTATCGTATAAAAAATATATATTGTTTGTATGTTCAGATCGCATAATTTTAATATGGAAGCTGGTTAGTTCTAGCATATGAGCGTTTGAAATGGGCCTCACAATGAAACCTTTTTTTTCGGTTTTCGATCTTTGATACCATACCGCCAAACAAATTTCTCTATTCCGAGGCTTTTTGTTTGGTTCTTGAATATTGTTTTTTTTTTATAAAGCTGGGTTGTTAACCCAACCCAGCGCTCAATCCCCAACTTGGAGGACTAGACCACAACGACTCTTTCAAGCATTTATTTATTTTTTATTTATTTCTATAGAAAAATTATTTATTTATTTATATATTAACAATTATATACTATTTGTACATATAATGTCGATAGTGATTTTAGATACTATGATTGCACTACTCAATATTATACTTTCAGTTGTGACTTATTTCCATACGCAGACACTATATTATAATACTTACTCTTCGTTTATTCTACGTAACTCTGAGGTATATAAAAATGTATACGTGATAGCGATACATAAGACCCATTTTCCGATTTATGTCTAATTGGTGTTAAAGTATTAATTTTACTTGTTAATAATCAACTCTTATCTCCGTTTTAGAGGTTATTGTCATATTATATCGATATATATTTTATGCATTAGAAACTATTAACAATTTTAAAAATATGATCAGACGTTATAAATAATTGTAAATATATTTTTAGTGAGTGTTTTTTAGTGACTTTTTCCAAAAGTCCAGAGTACCATCAAATAACTAACATAGTTTTAAAGCCTTAAAATAAATATTGGGCTTTTTACTAAATTACTTTTATTCTAGATCCACGTGGTCAAAATAAATATCAAATTACTGTAGAATATTTAACCACATAGCGTATAACAGTTGATGATATCGTTATTATTATAAAAATTCTGTGTTAAACATAAACAAAATAATTATACGATATAATATTCTAAAAGATTACTCAATTATTTTGCTCAGTCCTATTTTTCCTTCGTATTTGATTTTAATTAAATAATTAATACAACGGGTACATTTGAAATAATTGTATTGATGGTTTCCCTTCATTATGTGTACAGGGACTTTCAAAAGCACCTTAATTTTCCGTGTTGTTTAGTATTTCGTTAATTGAAAAATGTTTTAAAATATTTGATTATTTTAACCGTACACAAACATTGCTAAAAAATAATAGGGTTTTGCATTACGGACACCTTCCAATAACGAAATTGTCTGTGCTATTTTAATGACATCCACAATTATTTACTTTAAAATCATACTTAAATCTTTTTGAAAAAATATTGAAAACAAAAATGATTACAAGTTACAAAGGGATTACAAGTTACAGATATCATGTTTTTGTTTTTTTGTTTTTAAACGCAGTTAAATGGATGAATTTACTAAACCGTATGGATTACATAACCATGTCATAAATGGGAATGCGAATGTTAAAACACTTAATTTTAATACAGATTAGATTGGTGATTTTTTTTTTCGAGCGTTTAGATTCGACTAAAACGAATAACAAATATAAAGTAAAAATATGGAATTAATTTTACGGAAGCTGCGAAATTTGTTTTCAAATTTCAAGATATCCGTATCGACATCGATTCTTTTTATCTCCCACAAAATTTAAACGGTCGGTTTCCTTACAATTTCTCCGTCCAAACTCTTTGAAGTGGTAAACCGAAAACCGTGTGCTGCGTATTTATTGCTGAATGAATGAATGTTTTTGACACGGATGGTCGGCCTTTCTTTACACACTTCAAGCGTACATGTTATAAAGAATAATGTTAATGATAAAAATTTGCACCATGTTCGGGATCGATACGAGTATCAAAAGCAAAACATTTATATGTAATACTGTAAAAATGGGCGTGTAAAGAGAGTACGATAAAAAAAATAAAAAAAATAAATGGAAAACTCAAAAATAAATCTATAATTACAGAAAATATGTTTGGTTTTGATTTTTTTGCCGACAGATATTGGTTGCGACTTGAATTCGACTCGCAGCCGTCGCGCACCATCTGCACCCGCAGCTACGGAGCTCGTCTCTGTGAGACGACGCCGCTTTTCGCCACCGTCACCAGCATTATAACACCGTCACCAGAATTTTAGCACTATCACCAGCGTTTTAGTACCGTCACCAGCGTTATAGCACGTCATCAGTGTTATAACACCGATACCGCTTCTCCGCCACCGTCATCAGCGTTATAATATCGTCACCAGCGTTTTAGTACCGTCACCAGCGTAATAACACCCGTCACCAGCGTTTTAGCACCGTCACCAGCGTTATAGCACGTCATCAGTGTTATAACATCGACACCGCTTCTCCGTCACCGTCACGAGCGTTTTAGCACCGTCACCAGCATTATAGTCTGTTATCAGTGTTATAACACCGATACCGCTTCTCCACCACCGTCACCAGTGTTTTAGCACCGTCACCAGCGTTTTAGCATCGTCACCAGCGTTTTAGCACCGTCACCAACGTTTTAGCACCGTCACCAGCGTTATAACACCTGTCACTAGCGTTTTAGCACTGTCATCAGCGTTATAACACGTCATCAGTGTTATAACACCAACACCGCTTCTCCGCCACCGACACCAGTGTTATAGCACCTACACCTGTACTCCGTCACCGTTACCAGCCTTTCAGCACCGACGGCCGTGCACCACCGAATCGTCGGCCAGCACCTGGTTCACACGGCACCGCCCACTTGTTAGTTCCAGCACCATCCACGTCTAGCGCCGCCACTACCACTAACACCACCACCGTCCCCGTTGAGCCAAGCACCGCGGTCGCGCGCAATTGGCGCTCGGCTCCACCGGACTGACCCAGTGGACAGCGTACCATGTGGAAAATGAGCGACAAGAAACCGAACAAGCCGAAAAAACAGTTGGTAGTGTCATACGTGCCAGAGAGAAGTTCGCGTTCCGCGTTCGTCCAGCACCGGACGGTCTCGCACACGCCGCCATCAGCGGATTCCGGTGAGTACAATACGCCCAGCCGTCACCATAGACGCGGCGCGATCCGCATCAGGCGTCCCGTGTCACTCGACAGTCGCCGCCCGATGGAACAGCGCGAGCACAACTCGTACGTGGACACGTCGTCGTTCACCGATCTTTCGCCACCGTCGTTCGCCTATCGTTCGCCAACGCCGTTCGCCTATCGTTCGCCACGGTCGCTCGCCTATCATTCGCCACCGTCGTTCGCCTATGATTCGTCACCGTCGTTCGCCTATCATTCGCCACGGTCGTTCGCCTATCATTCGCCACCGTCGTTCACCAATCATTCGCCACCATCGTTCACCGATCTTTCACCACCGTCGTTCACCGATTATTCACCACCGTTGTTCGCCGATCATTCGCAACCGTCGTTTGGAAATCGATCGCGGCCGTTCGCCGACCAGTCACCGTCGTTCACTGATCAGTCACCGCCGTTCACCGATCAGTCACCGTCATTCACCGACCAGTCACCGTCGTTCGCTTATCAGTCGCCACCGTTCACCGATCAGTCACCGTCATTCGCCGACCAGTCACCGTCGTTCGCTGATCAGTCGCCGCCGTTCACCGATCAGTCACCGTCATTCGCTGATCAGTCGCCGCCGTTCTCTGATCAATGGTCGCCGTTCGCCGATCAGTCACCTCTGTCACCGCCATCACCACCGTCGACCACGCCAGTGGCCGTCGCCAACAGACCATTCATCGACTTCGGCACGGTCAGCGAGGAGTTGCTGTCCACACCGGTCGGGCCCAGCGCCGCGGAAACTGCAGACGCCGACAGCCAGGTGCTCGGGTACTTGTCGTGGCCCAGTGATCGGGATATGGATCGCAGCAACGTGCAGGTGCAGTTGCCCAACGGCATGTGCGAGGTGTGTCGCAAGTGTCGGTGCGTCACGTGCCGGCGCAAGTGTCGGTTCCTTCGGATGAACGTATTCAATCACTCCATACCGACGTACGGATGGGCGAGGTTTGTGCCGTGCGTGACCAAAAACGGGCCGTGCCAGATGTGCACCAACCGCGCCCCGCCTAACACCGACTGGTTACAGGTCGTCGGCCCGTGCTCCGAGCAGTGTAATCCCGACGGCAGCTCCGTGGTCGCCAGGTCCACCCGCCGGCCGTCTATCAAGCGGCAACTGTGCATGTTGTTTTGTTTTTGTTGCCCGTACTCGTGCGTGCCCGGCCCGCCACTCAAGTGCATCGCCCGATGCTCGGAAAACTGCAGCGGAAACGTTTTCTTGCGTGAATGCAGGTGCGTGAACTGGGACGCGGCGGTCTTGATTAGAATCTTCAAACATCAAAGATCGCCCGGGTCCAGCGGAAAACAGTCTGGCTGCGGCTTTAAAATAGCCTCCATGTCCACTATATGGTCCCTTTTCTGGCGTTGCGTATCCTCTTCCGATGCTAAAGGTACCACCAAAAACAACACCACCAAAGACACCACCACCAAAAACGCCATCATCGAAAATACTACTACCAAAAACACCATCATTGAAAATATCACCACCAAAAACACCAACACCATTGCTGCCTCCGTCCTGGCCACCGTCTTGCTACCGCCACCGCGTCAAGTTATACCGATCATCGAGTACTGCTTGAGGCCGAAAAATATCCGTAAATTACTGTACAACGACACCATAAGCCTGTCTCTGATTGTCAGCCACGACAATACCAATATCGCGATCGCATTGAAAACCATTGTCTGCGATGATCAAGTCGTCACTCTGATACCATATTCCAGTGGCAAACATCGGTGCATCATCACCAGGTCTATGATTTTAAGCAAATGCAAAGCGGGTTATTACAACGCTGAGATTTTGAAAGTATTTCTCGCCGCTGCCTGTTACAGCTTTGAGTATTTACAAACATTTTTAATTTACAAGTAAGCACCAATGCGTGTGTTTACGTGCGCGTGCGTGTACGTGTGTGTATATGTGTACGGACATAAGAACGTTCGCGTGGCTATTCAAAAATCAATTACATCGATACGACGCAGTCGACCCGTAAAAAAGATGGCATTCTAAAACCTGTCCGTCTTGTTCCCGTTGTCCTTTGGAGACCGCGGGAGAAAAAAAATCATCAAAAAACCGCTTGACAACTGATCGGAAGATAATGGAAGAAAACTGTACATAGGTTTGCGTTTATTTTAATTTTCTTCTCCGATCGGGTTGGGTCGACTAACATTTTCCAGCATTGCCTGATACGTGATACTAACCGTACGTGCTCGTACGCGATGTATGGCGTCCGTATACACAATACACCGTAAATCTCGCGGAAAATTAGTCTTAAGTCCACTGTTTCTCATCCTACTGCACGTTGGTAAAATAGTTATCAACATTTTTAGAATTAGTTCTTCACATATTTAGATTAGTCTTTTCGTTCTAAGTATTTTAGAGTAGCATTGCGCGTATGTTTAAGCTTAATAATAATATTTTTAGGAATTATTCTTAACTCTTATTGCATTATTACTCTCCTAATAATGCTTTAACGTTAATTCATAGTGGATAGGTTCTCCCCCGCTGCATATTATTATGACGTTACGACCGGGTACGTACGAAATCGTAATGATAAAATCTACGAATGGACCTCAGGTGTGCGCAATGTAGGTGCGTTGTAGTGGTCACGTTAGCTTCTGGTCCGTTCATTGTCATTATTATTATTATGTAACATTCGCGTTTTGTTCGTTGACTTGCGTTCGTTTCGTCCGCTTCTGCCCCGGCCCGTACGATTAATTCTCTTGTCTATGTTTAACCGTTATTCCATACTACATTAAGTCATTTTTATCTAATATATGTGAGTAAATTTTATTTATAGTCTTAGGGACGGCGCTAGGATATGGAAAGTGGAACATTTGTTCACCGACATTATTTAATCGACAAAAGTTAAAAAACTTCTTACTAATTTTTTTTTTTTTTTAAACATTTTAATATAAGGTCTCGCAAACCCTAGCGCCGTTCCTGGATAGTATATGTGTAAGTATATGTTTTAATCGACATTTTTCTTGTTTCCATACATTTTACCCGTACTATAGGTTAGGTTAAGTTAGGTTAGGTAAGCTTAGGTTAGCCTAGGTCTATAGATTAGAATTATTATATCTTTTATTTAGGTTAGGTTATCGATTAGATACTATTTATTTTTTCGCACGACAACTATAGCGTTTTCCCGTGCCATTCTTTGCAAAACATGGACGTTTAATATTATAACACTTCAATATATTTTACAAGAAGCCAACTATTTTATATTAGATTTCGTTTTAAGTACATTCGTTTAAAAATAATATGGCCAAATTGAATTTCACTTCGGATTTAAAAAGCCCTGCCTACATAACTACATTCGAATTTTTAAATTTATATTTGTATATATATATACATCTCATGCGATCCGGCTGGTTGACATGTGTTTGCATTAATTTGTGTTTCCGGTTCAAACGCATTTAATCCATTCACAAATCTAATCTTATGGATATTATTATTATTATGTTTTTATTTTATTGTAATATAAATCGATGTTATACATATAAGTTAGTTTAGGTTATTATGCATATAAGTTAGGTTAGTTTATTATACATTTAAGTTATATACTCAAAGTTAGTTTATAGGATATATTATTATATGTGTTTGTGTGTGCTATATATTAAGTCTATTTAATATTATGTATTATGCACGCTACGATGACCTGTAGCTAGGCGACTACTAACGATATCGGACGATTACGTCGATGATTATTTTGAAGATCCCGGTTTCCTGCGTCATTTATGGCAAAAGAGATGATATAATGTTGCGCATTAGACGCTACTTAAATCAGTTTATACGATGCGAATATATGTGAATATATGCGGAAAATGTTTTTAATTGGATTGATCGACCTGTACGTGTAAGCAGGATCGCTTAAATCCATTTCCAGGACCTGACCATCAAATGCACGACCCCAGCTGGCACGTCGAGGGCTTTTCTCGAGGATTCTGGATAATTGATTGTGTATTTTGAGTATTTCGGATATATGATATGTGCCCACAAGTCTTTGTGGCTCACGCCACCAGCCCCGTCGCAGTGGAGAAATCATAGGTATATCAATTAGGTCTGTGTTGGTCCTATTTGGCAAATTATGCGGCGCGACAACGATTTATTATATGACAATAAATCGTTGGATTTGCATAAAAAAAAAAAAAAAAAAAAACAATTTACTCTAAAATTATTATATTACTCATTGATAATATATAAAATATAATTTTAATCAAAAAAATAAAATTATCTATTATTAATAATGATGTACTTTAAGATTTAAGATTACTACTAACATAAGATTAAGCGTCGTTTGACGATCTCTAAATATTTTACGGTTGAGCCGTTCTCTCTCAAATATACAAAATTAAATTAAATCACTCGGCCCTTGGGTCGACCTATTTCTAAATATTACTCATAGACTTTGGTGGATCCAGCTCAAAATGAATAAATTTATTTCTCTTTTTCTCTTCGTACTCTACAGATGAATTTTCGGTTAACGTATTTTTAATTATAAAAAATATTGTTACTATTATTTATTCGTCAATAAATTAACACCGAGCAAAAGCACGAAAACACTGTAGAATCTCAATACTACACGTGTACTGTTTTTGGACATGTTTTATTTATGCAGTTAACTATGTGTTCAGTAAAAATAGATGATAAAGTCAAAATTGATTAAATAATGTATTCGGTCTCTATCTATAATTAGTGATTCATTTGTAATAATTTAATATGTGATGCTGTTTTTCTGCATCTACACTATTCAATCCTGATCCACGATACATGTTAATTATTATCATAAATCTTTTATTTCAAAAGACGATTTTTAAGAATATTTAATGTTGTGTGTTCTATAAAATTAAAAATAATTATTAAATAATACTAAAGTAATACTTAAGAAACGGATTCTAATTGAATTTAAAATGTTGTTTTTAACAGTTTCACTCACAAAAATTATTTGGACGACTCAGAAAAATTATTTTTAATTTATATTATGTATTATATATTTATTATATTAAATTATATTATATTTTAAATTAAAAATATTTATTTTGAATCTTCTAAATAGTCTTCATGAGGGGAACAGTAAAAAAAAAAAAAAAAACATAATCATATCAATAATACATAATATTCATATTTATTTGTAAATGTTTAAAAAACATTTGTCTTTTAAAAAATATATATGTATTTACATATATATCTGATGTTAAAACTGCCTAAATATTTATTTCAATTAAAATCCGTTCCTAATATCTAAATGAGTGTTTTGGAAAATATAAAATTATAATATTATTAAAATATATTTATATTCCTATGAATACTTATTTATTTATAAGAGAGGCGTATAAAAATGTTATTTCTGGTGTAAGGAACTATAATTGAATAAATAAACAAAAAATTATTAAATAAATAAAAACCATTACAATTAATATTAATAATAATTTTATAAAAATGTCATGATTTTATCATATGTACTTATATGTATAATAATTTATTATTCATAAATTTAAGAAAATTTTCTGAAATTCTGCCAGCTGACGTTTCTTATCAGCACCTTTTGTAACGTGTACGCCTCTGAATTATAATACGATAATATCGTATTTTATATTATACAATATAATTATTTATAATCCGTCTGAGAAAAATTGTATTTCGTATTACACTTAAGCCAAACACAAATACATACACGGTGGCTTGTGGGTTTTTCACCGTCCGTGTGCGCGCTTATGTAGATCGCCTCGCAGAGTACCTACACGTTTATTTTAGTAATTTATAATATAATACATTGTTACATATAATTTATTCAATTTGATATCGAAAGCGACGTGGCAGTGCGATCATAGATCCAGTAATCCGTAACTCGTTGAATTCCATATTTTTAGTATGTATTTTTACACCCGAAGATTCAGCTACGCCTTTGGGATTTTGTGCTCGGAGGGATGGGTATCCACCACGATCATATATCCCTCGCCCTCCTTTACCATCACTGTGTACGATGATTGTTTCACTAGTATTACGAGATTACGGTTCGTATTGTCACACGCAGAAAGCATAAATATTAAACAGTGATCACTGAAACTATTATCGATGAATAATAACGACGCTGTGTATACGTTTTCGTCCAAAAATTAGAATCAGCAACACAAGTGCAACAGATTGCGTGCTATTTATGTATGTACGTGCTATTTATCAACACGTGCTTGATTATTTTAGTACGTGGTTATCGGTAATTTACAACAGTTATATTAGACAAAAATCAAAAAGTATCTTTACAATTCAAAATTAAATTACTTCGACTGTTAAGTCAACGACTAAAAATTGATTTAAACACATATTTATTAACTATTCGAAATCATATATATTAATTTATAAATTCTTTGGCCGAAAGTATATGATTGACAACAGGAACTTATTAGAAACAGTATCACTGGTGACCATTCTCTGACTTACTATATGCTCTCTCTTTTCTCTCTCTCTCTCTCTCTCTCTCTCTCTCCCCCTCTCTTTCTTTCTCACTCACTGCCATCAATGGATTAACACAGAACGCAAAATAAAAATAATGCGAAAAATCAAGCATCTATTAAATACTCACCGATATCTACAAGGCGTAACGTCTGGGCTCAAATTGACGTTGCGTCTATGCACGCGCGCACACAAAATTATAATATTGCCAAGTCTGCGATCGATTCGCATTGTACCGTTGTATTGTATTTGTTAAATTACACTGTCATAAATATCTCATAATTATCATTATTAATATTTTTATTATTATTGTAGCAAAGTGTTTTAATTCAACGCTTGACGCCACACAGGAGTAGATAATGTTACAAATAAAAATATTATAATGGTGTTATGTATTTATTAATATAAAAATAAGATTACAGTACATGATCCGTATATGGGTAAGAATCATTATATATATATTTTTTTTTTTTATTAATTTTATGGTATGTTTATTTTATATATATATTTTTTTTTTATACACCTCGATTATACTTGTAACTGAATGAAATTATAATAAAAAATAATGATATTGTTTTGTTTTACCTGGTTCCTGCTTAACGGCTACCCGGGCTTTCTCTAGTCATGAATAATAATTAAAAACCTCTCAAATTCTTGTTTTAAATATTATACCTCATTGTAATGTTTTATGTCATAATTTTGTTATTATTATTATTATTATTATTACTATTAATATTATTATTATTTTATTGACTCTTGATTTTTGTAGTCCTTAATCCCTTATATTATATTTTATCTTATTATTGTCTTACAGTATATTTATTTTTGTTAATTTATATTTATCCTCTCCATACTCATATACGATGAAATGTTGATGTTTGTATTTAAAATTATCAAATAAATTATAAAAACATTTTAAAATATTATTCCGAATTGCATTCTAAATATTACCTATGAAATCGCAAATATTGTGTTGTTGTTATTGTTATTCAGTTAATTCTATTGTGAAAATTGTAACACATCACATCCGAAAATACATTTTAACATTGATCTCGAATCAATTGCATGTGTACAGTTGAGTTGTGAATAATTTGCAGCACAGTTAACTATAAACTGGACTCTGTTACAGAGGAATTAGCAACCGTATGCGATGGGCCTATTTGATGTGCGTTTAATACCCATCATAATGTTGGTTCACATTTTTACAACTCTTATTACACTGAATTTTGTTTTGTTTTGAAAACTGCACGTAAACGAAGAAGAAGAAAAAATTATGTTTTTCATGAAACATTGCAATTGATATTCAGTCGGTTTTGATATTCCTGCAGATTATTAAAAAACATTAGAGCGAGAAAAAATATTCTCCGACAAGATGTTATTGTATTTTCCTTTCGACTGTTTTAAAGATGTACTTAAAAACATTAAAGTTAACGTAAGTAACTGGGAACGTACAAGTGAGAGAATTCACGTAAAGGTAAATTTTACTCTGTTTAAAAATTATGCAATCGATTCAGCAGATTTAAAAAATTAGTACCTTAAAGAAAAATAGAACACGACTTCAATACGCAAAAGCCTAAATAACAGTAAACAGGTAATGACGTATTTTGAATTTACCTGTACCGCTAACGTTTGAGACTGAAGGATTGACTTTGTAACACTCTTCTGACGACCACGGTGTGTCTAGAATTATAAACTATAGTTATTATTTCAGTTTATTTTCCGTTCCGATGAAATGTATTTCAGGAAAATGTAATCGACAACTTTTATTTTTACGATAACTGTTTATACAGTATCGAAACGAGGCATTGGTAACATACGATTCAATCATAATGTAATTATTAGTCTTTTATCGTGTTCGTTTCTGTAGTCGTTTCCGAGATAAAGATCTAACGAGAGAGTTAAAAATCCGCAATAAATGTGTCCAAAAAGTAACAATAAACTATTTTTATTTTTAAACTTTTCAAACGAAACACGCTTCCTTCACTCCGTCCATTGCGTTATAAAATAACAGAAGTAACAGTAAGTGCATACATGTTATTTTTGCGCACCGATATTAGAGACCTCCAGCTGGCCAATGAAAAAAGTATTTTTATGCATCGAACCTCACTCAAAGGATTTTAGTATCCCCATAAGGCACACCGTTAGGGGCGTTAGGAATCTATATTGTTTTTCAGTGTTAACGTCCCTGAAACCAAAAACAACATAACGCACGAATGGCTGTATTTATTGGATGTTTTGTTTTTCTTTCAAGAGTATTTCTTCAAAAGTATCCGTTATGAGTGTACAGAGTCAGTGGCGCCGAACCCACATATGTAGTGTGGCATAAATATAACATAAAAAAATATAAGAATAAATAACCTAACCTAAATAAAATAAATATAGATCTTATAGTTCTAAATATAGAGTACATATACTAACAGTTCTATAATAGTTTTTAAAAAAAAATTAATAATAAAATAATAAATAAATTGAGAATAACTAAATAAAAGAAAAGTAATAAATAAATAAATAAATAAAATCAATAGTTTTAACTTGGAAAATGTAGTAGAATATAACGGAAATAACGAAATTTTGTTATATCTAATATATTTGATATCATTTACAATAAACATAGGTAATAAAAGCAATAAAACACAAATTATTTATTAACTTTTTTAAGTTATCTCGTATTGGTATGTGGTATACACCAATTACGGTATGAAAATCAGCAT